TTTTTTTTAACCAGCATATAAAATGTTTCCATACTGTTCTGGTAACCTGATAAATTCTGGGACTGACTGAGATCGTTTGTCATTTTTAATAGGAAAAGACGCCACTCTCTTCAAGACGAGGACACTTGAGTGACATAAGACATTTCTTGAGGGTAATTTTTCAGCTTTTGGCTAAAATCGGTTTGACTTTGTGTTGAAACCTTTCAGGAATATCAGGGCTGTGCCTCTTTATCCTTTCATGCCGTGGTCATATGAAGCATGTGTGTTATTTGCAGAATCTTTACTGGCAGAGTTGAGATTAGATGTTATAATCTTTGTATTCAAAAGTTTACTGTGATCTGCAGTCGTACTGAAAGAGAATAATTCAGTGTTCAGACCTGTCAGTAAAAAAGGTGTGCAAATAACCAAAACCCAGAAATTAAAGTATTCTAACTTGCTCCTGAGCTGGAGGAGTTCAGTGACGACATTTCTAATTTATAAACAGATCACAGTATTATACTGCATCACGTACCAGTGATTTCACTAATGAAGAAGTTCATGCTTTTCTGGGGTTTGCTGTTGTAAATATCCAGGACAAGTATAATATTAATCAAGCTGATATTTTTCTAAGTGATGGTCAATGAAAAAAGGGTAAAAATGCATCTATATGTTTTTTTCTTTATAAAATAGCCTTATTCAGTTTTTTAAAGTCTTTGTGCAGACAGGGAAGTGACTTTAACACCCTTTAATAAACCTCAAATGTTTAATTATTTGTCTCCTTTCTGAATGAAACACTGCCTCATATCCCTTTCCATGACACATCCATGTTTTTGGAAAACTCAACCACTTGCCAAAAAATCAATTTAATCTAGAATAGAAATCTGCGAGTAAACTGAGGTAAGAAAGTTGTATGTGTTCCAGTAATTGTGCCTGCTCCAGAGTGCAATTACTTTCTGGCTTCCTGTGAGTACGTCTTGCTCTATTTCTGGTGTTTTATTTCATCGTGGGGGCAATAACAGCCTGACATTCAGTGATGCCTATGGTGGTGGATGTATTTCTCTCAAGCCTGCATTGGTTTTCTGTCTTAGTTGCACATGTTCAAATGTGGGAGGATAAAGATCTGCACTTGCAGATCTGAACAATATTTTTTCCGCCATGAATTCAGGTTGTTTCTGTTTAATACCTCTAGGGGGCAGCATCGGCTTGCTTCTTGTGAGCTTTGAGCCGTTTCAGGGTCTGCGCAAACCTGAGGGAGATTTTTGTTTTTTAATAACTGATTTCTTTTGTCTTTTTCCTTGTTCTTTTTCTTTTGACATGTTTTTTCTACCTTTCTTGGAGGCACTTTGCATCCTTGAGAGTAATCTGTGCCATATTCAATATTTCACCATCTTTATAAAAGTGCAAATGCATCATCTGGTCCTTTTCCCTTTTCTCATCAACCAGCGCGCCTGTTGAAATGGACTGTATAGCTGACATGCTCTACCCTTATATGGTTTATTATCTCCACGCTATGCTTTCTGGTAGAGTTGACCCACGTTTGGCTGTCTGTAATATGCTGCTTGAAAATGAAAATCATGAATTTGAAATGTCATGCGGGAGCTTTCAGCTGACAAAAATGTCGATCAATAATAGAGCAGTGCACACAGGAGTATACTTTCCCCATTTATGTGCTAACGCTCTCCCATGCTCCTAGATCACGAGATGTCCTCTGACGGTGATACACCATTTTTTTCTGCCGAGCCGATCAGATGTGTTTCCTGTGGCGACGGGTATGACCTTTTGCCCTGCGTCCACCCAATCAAAATGCCAGTTCAGTGGACCAGAAAAAGCAAGACACCCAAATGGTCCTGGCATTTGCAGAATTGCTTCTCAGTCTGTGGTTTCCTTCATGCTCTGCACATGGATGTTGGTCTCGAAGGATAACGCTGTGCTTAAAACCAGGCTGCTGAGCAGGAGCTGGATGCCATGAACAGTCGCTCTGGTTTCACGCTGTGACCCCGAGTCACGTGCGTTACTCAGCTGCTCTGCTCCAACTGGCAGGCATCTGAGCTCCAGCCGTCTGTGACCTGCAGAAAGATGGACGAGATGAGAGGGAGAGGATAGAGAGTTGGTTATTGGGATGCTATGTCTGTGCATAAGGCGGCAGAAGCTGTCTGTAGGGTGGAAAGAGGCTGCCAGGAAGGAAGAAAGATGGATGATGACAATAAAGAGTGGGCCGCTTAATCTTATTTCTCTTACAAGAGAGACCTGCGACCAGAAACCATAACAAGAACGTAATTAGCAGGAAGAAGAGGACAATAAAAAAAAAAAGAAGTATTAAAAACAACATTAAGAAATGCTAAAATCTCACAGAGGAAATAACAAATCTAATCTATGGTATCTGAAGCCACAGGTAGTGCAGCATCTTATGTTAACGATCTCCTCGATCCTGATTTACATATGCGAGATGGCTTAAATGGCTGTTTTTCTTCTTCAGTGAAAAGGAGGTCTGTGCAACCTTTTCACGCAAAGAACAGTGATGAAGCATACCGCACTATTGCGTGTCTGCTGTGGTGTCGCTTGGCCAGCAGGACACTAATGGGTTGCCATACATGCTAAGAGTAAACACACACTCAAAGCGATGACAGAACAAGCGACTCTATACGAGGAGCATTGAACCTCCTGCAGAGCTTTGGTGCAGTTTTCTGTGTACCAGCTCCAACTTCTCCCTCCCGTCTTTCTAGGAAGCCAGTCGAGCGTCAGCAGAGAGGATGCCACAGTGTTGAAACACACTCGGGGGTTTGTCCTTTAGTCACAGCCTCGGCGGTACATCTGTCCATCCACAGAGAGAACAAGCAAACACGATCACACTGACTCAGCTCTGTATTGTTCAGTGGGGCAGGCCACTTTGGTACAGTCAGGTTTGTAATAGCTTCAGTGTTCCTCACATTTCCTGACAGAGTTGTAGGGTTCAGCCCCTTAATGAGAGCAGAACAGACACATTAACCTTTTCTCAGTAGATTCTCCGCCGCTGGTGTATTGATCTCATTATTTTGTAGAGGAAGCTGTTCGCAGTGTGAGGCTGGAGTTGTGCACAGAGTAGTAGCACATTCAAATATTCACCAGAAGAGGTAGTTTCAGTTTTAATAAGCCTCGTTTTTTATTACACTTTTAAGGTAATATATTCCCATTTCAATTCATGCTGTAGTGTCCAAACCTTGGTTACCTGATTAGTCTGTGGACAGAAAATGTGATAATTGGTTAATCATTTAAATAAACTCTGAAGCCAGATGGTGCAGGCATGTAGTTTGGTTTATAAACAGACACGAGCTCTGAGAAAGAAAATAAATCGAAAGTAGTTTAAGGCTCTGACGCTCTCCGTTACGCACCTACTAAGCTGACAGCCTCCCACTGTAATACGGGCTTTGCTTAAAGAGGCAAAGAGAGACATCAAGTGTCTCTATGGTGATCAAGCAGCTCTGGCAGGCAGTGGATGAGGGTTCAAATGTGTCTCTGCAATCTATATGGTAAGTGCCCCCTCCAGATTACATCAGCCGGTGACCCCTGGCTGGACCTCCTAAGACCAGATGTATAATTATGTCCACTCCGCCCCTTGAGTAGGAAAGGCGGTTTCTTGCACCCGTGTTTCAAAATTATTCCGCAATATTTGAATTCAAATGTCACGACATGTTGACAGACCAGTGTCGATCAATTCTGATTTTAAAACAAAAGCACCTGCACAACTCCGATTACACACATTTTATGAGGTATTGGATCATTGCAGGGGGATTAATGTGCGTCATCCACTCCAAAACTATTCAATGCAATATCTGATGATGCCCTCGGCCTTTTATCAGCTGCCATGCAAAGGTTGCATGTTTTTTATTGTATCAGTTGTTTACTAAACTATTGATTGCCGTCACCCTCAACCATACCTATGCTATATTACACCTGCAGTTTGAGGAAGCGCTTCGACGGCTCGTAAGATCCATTTGACTTCATATCTGCTGAACTCTGTCTGCAAAGCATCTGCTGTTGTGTCCTCAGTGTCACCGTGAACTTGTTGACATGCTAATGTTTGGCTGCTTCATCAGCACAACAAGAACCGACATTGCAAGAGAATTTAGTCTAATTATTATTATTATTATTCCTTTTTCTGAGTTTGCTGAAGAGAAATAATGTACCCATGACAGGCTACCGAGAACCTTTTATGCACTTTGAACTCAGCGCGGAGTTCAAATATAGCTGTTAGTTTACTGTAGAGCGCCTGTTTCCCCTCAGTGAGCTCCCAATTAGTTATGACAAGAAGGGCAACACGACCCATAGCAATCAAGCTCGTTTTCCATGCGCCTGAGGCACAGACAGGCAGAGATGCTGACACCTATTCCAGGTCTGCGCGCGGTAAATGTTGGCTAATCACTTGTTTGCAAAGCGGTTGTCAGAGTCACCAGACACGGACACTCTCCATCTGCACATTTCTAAGTTGGCGAGCCAGTCTAGTGTTGCTGCCTATTTACTGATCTCGGATAAAGCAGCAGCAGCCGTAGCCCTCTCAGTCCACGGGCTGTATGGCACTTGACTCAAAAACCAGGCAATCTGGACAAATAAAGTGCCTTTTGTGCTGCAGATCAATGAAGTCAGCCCTATTTTAGACAAATGTATTTGTTGCCATAGCAAAGTTTCCAGGGAGACCAATAGGTCGGGTTAAACGCGAAGAGAGAGAGACACACACAAAAAAGAAGAGTTTAAAAAAAGGTCAGTCTAAAGTTAATTGGACCAGCACACAGTTGCATTGTCTGCTTGTGCTTTTTTCTGGTCAAACAGCCCCATGTACATATCTATCTCTATAGAGAGAGAGATGGATTTGGATATATGCAGAGAGAGAGAGAGAGAGAATGAATGGTTGGAACATAAAACCTCAGTGCTGTGCGCAAAGGCTAACAAGGAAACCCCGGCAGTTAACTGCAGTGACTCTTGGGGACTCATGTAAACCCAACCTGTACGATTCCTTTCCTCACAGGAGCAACTGGTGTTCTTTCTAGCTGGTTCTGCGGAAACGCACAGTTTGATCTTATTGGTCAGCTGCATCTGTGTGCCATCTATAAAACGCACCACAGGCGCTCCGGAGCCGAGACCGTCTGAGGGCGCAGAGCAGCGCCACGGAGCGCACAGACTTATCCGAGGTGTGTGAGAGAGAGAGGGGAAAAAAACAAAACCGGTAACGAAAAAAACAAAACAAAAGGGAAAAAAAGAGGACTGCGTCTTCCTCTGTATTGCTGTAAGTATCATAATTTTATTACATAGCACAGATATCAACATTATTAAGCTTTTCGAAGCAGACCAGAGGAAACATGCAGGCACCTGTTGATCTGTCTTTTCATTACTGAGTTTTCGCCTAAAAAACGAGTTTATGTGATCGTTCAATGTCGAAACGTATCGATTATCTATATGCAGGAGCGTTATTAATGCATTTGGTAAAATAATTTATATTTGTGAGCTTTTCTTTTTCGCCAATGTGTCGTCTTCCCGGAACTGAAATTAAATTAAATTAAAGCATAAGTGCAAATCAAAAGTTTCCAGTTACATCATCAGGGAGAGTTTCTAAATCAAAGAATGCACTTTTAAATTTTGCTCATTAAAACGTGACCGTGCGATCGGAAACCGAGAAGTAAATCCTTTGTTGCTGATTTATCCGCAGACTGATTGCGTTAGTCCGTAAAGACACTCTGTTATCTAAAAACTACACAGACTTTATTTCACGTGTTGGAGATTTAATGTAGCTGGATTTATTTTATTTTTTTTAGTAATGCTTTGTCATTTGTCCGTTCAAAGGATTCTCTGCTATTGTTTATAAGCCTAGAAAACCTTTTTAAAGAAGGGTTTGTTGGTATGTTCGACACTAAACAGAAAGTTGAGCTCAGGTTCAGTGTGATAACGCTATAATATTTCCTGTTTACTCAAGTCTTATTCCTGTAAACGCCTGCGGTCCTAATCACAGACTGCGTTTCAGCGCGAAAGCGCTCAGGTGATATTTTTATCCCTCTTCTCCCCGTGGAGTGACGCTCTGATCGTTTAACCCCCCCTCCCCCCTTCTCCCTCTCCCCGCCCACCCATGTGTGTTATTAATTGCAGACACACCTGACTGCACCTACTCCACACATCCCACTTTCCAGTGGGGACCATGTGGGTTCTGGATAAGATCCGCGGGTCGGTGGAGAGTGGTGTTCTGCGACAAGGGGAGAACGGGGACAAGAGGGGTGGCACCCCGGCCTACAGCAACGTCCTCACCCCCGACAGGATCCCAGATTTTTTCATTCCTCCGAAGTTGGTGAGCTGCCCCCCAGAGCCCGAGATTCCCGCCGTAAAGCCCAAAGAAAGCCTGCACCCGTCCACTTCTGAGCACACCATCGGTAGTGGGAAGATCAGCAGTCCGAGAAGCCCACGTCTGGTAGCCAAGATTGCAGGAGACACCAGGAACTTGCTGAGAGCTGCAAACCGCCACATTATACAGATAGAGAGTGCAGATGATGTGGTGGCTGGAGACACTAACGCAGACCCCCAGTCGCAGACTGCAATGTCTCTGCCTTATGTCCCCAAGACCCAGACGTCCTACGGGTTTGCTACCTTGAAGGAAAGCCCCCACACGCGCCGTAAAGAGTCGCTGTTCCACTGCGAGCTCACCAGCCCCATCACCTCCCCAAATACGCAGAGGAAGACTCCGGGCAGAAGCAGCGACACGGGAAACCACCTGAATCCAGCTGACTTTAACACCTCTCACATGAATCCCTACCGATACTTCAGCGGCGGAGAGAGCGACACCTGCTCCTCAGCCGAGTCCTCCCCTTTCAGCTCCCCTCTGCTCTCTCGCTCCGCGTCCCTGCTCAAGATCTTCACCCATGAGACGCAGGCCAAAGTGGTGAAAGCCAAGCGGACTTTCGCGCGCCACAGCTCCCTCTCCACCGACGAGTGCAGCTCGGCCGAGCCCAGCCCCAACGTCCAGCGACGGCTCCACGTCCCCACCTATCACGGCGGCGCTGGAGCTTCGGACCACGGCCTCCATCAGGAGCACACCATCAACCTGCACAAAGGCGGGACAGTGCGGATCAGCGTCAACTACGACTCCAGCACCTCGCGCCTTCTCATCCGCGTCCTGGCGGCGGAGAGTCTGTACGACAAGCACTTCGACATGAAGAGCATCAACTGCTGCGTGTCTGTCTACCTGAACCCCGGCAAGCTGCAGAAGCAAAGGAGCAACATCATCAAGAACAGCCGCAACCCGGTCTTTAACGAGGACTTCTTCTTCGACTCCATAAGTTCCACTCAGGTGAAGAGCCTCTCCGTGAAGTTCAAGGTGGTGAACAAAGGCACCAGCCTCAAGAGGGACACCTTGCTGGGAGAGCGAGAGGTGCCTCTGGGGAAGTTGCTCTCAGGGGTTTAAAGCTCCAGGAACTGAAGGTCAAAGGGGGGCAAAGAGCGAGGATACAGATGAAACTTAAATTAGATGTTTGCACTGGTTTCTATGTTTTATTTATTCTAACAGTGACCATAAAGACAAAGGGAGACGACAGGGAAGGACCTCCAAGAATGAAAACCAATCCCATAAGGAACATCAGCTTTAATAAATCTAAATAAACACTAAGAGCACTAAATAACCCAGATGTAGCCGATACGTGGACACCTCAAGGATTTATCATCCCCAAGCTCTGCCTAACTCCCTCTCCCATTAATGAACACTCATTAAACCAAGCTGGGCTGAACAGCAACGGTTGAATTTGACACATGAAAGGTTTTCTTTCTGGCCGGGTCTCCCAGCCAGCTCCGGTTCAAAGGTTGGAGGACACCTGTGCTTCACTGCGCTCATCTGTGCGTGCCACGGTTTTATTATTGTAATGTGGCAGAAATCCGCAGCAGCGCTGGATGCGATTTCCCCATCTCGCCATGTGCTGCGCGGGCACAGAGATGCTTTTGTGAAACGGTGGGAGCTTTGAAGTGGCACTAGAGCCTGATGTGCAAATGACCCTTTGATCCCAGTTGCCAGAGCAGCCCACATTTACATGCCCATCAAAAAGTACAATTATAACACGATTGATCTTGTAAGAAACACTGAAGTCTGTGTTATAACGATACAATTAAGGATAACTGAACATTACAGAACATTTACAAATGTGGGGAAACAATGTCTGTAGAGTTTAATCCTTTCCTTCAGCGTCAAACATTTTAAAGAAAGCATTTGTCGCTGTCTTTTTGACACAAAACAGAGCAAAACCACCTGTATTCTTACAAGCATGCAAAATATGAAAAACAGCCTAGGTGTAAACAAATCATTTCTCATCTATTTTGATTGCAGAGCAACATTCGGACACTATCCATGAAAAAAATCTTATATTAGAAGCAGATTTCTTCCCCTTAAAATATTCCTAAAGCTTAATTATAGACAGAAATGACTTGTTAAAATGAGATTTTTATTAGTGAGCAGTAATGTTTTTGGATTTTAATATTTTTAATAGCCCCCAGTCATGTCTGTAACAGTATGAAACACAGCTATGAGTTAATGAAAGTGGAGCAGCAAGGGGAAACTGGTTGCAGTATATTTGATATACATATTTATCTGGTTGATGAAATCCTTATACTGAGATGAAATAGCAGTGTGGGCACTCCAGTTAATAACAGTCCGTCAACATGCAGTCAAGTCCAGTGTGGGCACCTTGATTAAATCCTAATTAAACAACATGTTCTCACCAGAGCTGTGCGATATGACCAAAATCTCATATCCCGATATAAGAATTCTATCGTCCGATAACGATATAAATTACGGAGCCCCGCAGGGGACATGGGAGAAAAAAAAATTAAGACGGACTTTTGCGAGATCTCGCAAAAGTTTTGCGAGATCTCG